TTCTGTAGATTCTACATAGACAACACAATCTACACTATGATTTTCAGGAAACTGTCTTTTGTAATTGGGTTTTGTATACATTTTATAGTCCTCGGATATAATTAAATGATTCGGCGACATCTTCCGTTTTTTGCCGCGTTGACTTTTTCCACGGTCGACGGGGTTTCCCCCGTCGCTACTATCACTCATTTTCTTTGCTTGATTTATTATTTAGGTATATACAATAAGATATACAATATTTACAATAAAATTACAATTAAAATAAAAAAATCAAAAAGGAGAAAATTTAAAACACCCGCTCAATTTGACTTCCCGCCAAAAAGTCGACACAAACGTCAAAATGTCAGTGTTGCTAAATCTATTTCATTTTACCCTATATTTGGTATTTATTACCCCTCATGTCGTAGCAAACAATATATTACAGAAAACAGGAGAGAAGATTGTTGAAAAAATTTAAACCTAAAAAAGTGTTGGCATAATTTTAATGTGTGGAACATGTATTAGCATACTTTGGCAGTAAAACTAAAAACATACAAGTTTGCCGTTATGGCCATTTGCATAATGCTCTCTCTGTCTGTCATGCCGTCATAACATACTCCATTACTCATAGCACTCACTACACACTATACATACTATATATAAGTATATACTTTAACAAACAAAGCACAAAAATTATACCAATATATATTAAATATGAAAAAAAATCTATGATATTATATAGATAGGAATTAGGATTAGATAGGAGATTGGAAATATAAATTTTATTAACTGAAAAACGGAATTGTATATAAAAAATACCCTAAACGTAGGTTAAAGTAACCAAAACTGAAAACATTGGAATGTCCGGAATGTGTATGACAGTATTGAGTTGCTAAGGGACAATGTCAGTAATGTCATGTTGCGTTTAATTTCGTGAAATCTTTGCAATAGTCTGATCATAATACATATTCAATTTTTCAGGCCAAAAGCTACTCTTTGGCCATTTATTGTTGACTTCATAGAGGAATTTAAAAGGTTTCTTAGACTGGACGTATTTCAAAGTTTAGTTTAATATATATATGGATTAATACATTATCTCAATCAGGATAGGTAGGTACTTATTAAATTCATGCAAGTAGTGGGATGCTAGTCGCTGCTGATATTTTGTTAATCGTTGTTTTTATTACCTACCCATGTAGGTGCCTACCTTTGTTTTATTGTTATCCAAAGTCATGTTTTTGTTTCATAAAACATTTTGACCTACAATAAAGAGTTATGCACAAACTGGTACTATACATGCTATCAATCTATATGTAGTAAGTATATCAGGCCAATATATCGTTTTGCTATTATCTAATGGTTGGACAACTTAAGTTACTATTAGCACATATGTTTTATTCAAACTATTCTAATGTTAAAGGTCATAGCTGGCCTTTCTGCATCACTGGACGAAAAATGGGGATGAGTGCAAAAGGCGCTCTAAACCCGCGGGAGGCGTTATGTAGCGGTTGAAGGCTCCCAGAAGATACGCCGTCAGAAGGATGGGCGAGAACCTCAACTCACTATGCAATACACTATAACACTTAACGCCGTAATACGGTATTATAAAGAGATGTGGCATTTCCGTATTCCATTGTTGTGTACCACGAATGGACTTCACTCTTACCGCACAACTACTTATGATTATACAATCATGCATGGTCTGAACAAAAAGAAGAAATGATGATCATGCTCTACCATTTCTTCTTTTTGTTCTTTATTTTAAATGGCTGCCACCAATTTTTATCTGCGATTTTGCCATTCTCATGATTTCAGATACTCAGTGGAATTTTATAGCTGTGGCTTATTTTGTTTGATTAGTAAAGTTTGACAATTTCGTTCGGGATCGATATGTTATAATTAAAGACAGTATTACACCTGAGGGTTAACAGTTTTCATTACTAAGAGGATGTTGTTGGGGTGTTTCTATTATACCAAACATGGTTTTATTTTAATTTTTGCAGTGGTTTTATTACGAGTAGGAAATACAGAACTTATTATTTTATAATACAGACATGAGCGAGATGCCATGACAATTTTTACTCGCAGTTTACAGTGTCACCATATGTTGTCTAGGGTTAACAGTATAATAAATTGTATTTACCAAAACAGGGCACATTAGTTAGTTGAACAATATATAATAGACTCGTAATATTATGCTCTACAAGTCTTTGTAATTATTTTTCAAATGAAAGTTATTAGCAACGCTATTAAGCCCCTGTAGAAATGGTTATGGCAATTTTCATAAGTTTCGTAACTTTCAATTTTTTATAAGGTGTGGGCGATGAAGGAAACCAGGGAATTGTAGGATATATATATATATATATATATATGTATATATATGTATATATTATTATAGGAGTATATTACAAAGAAAGAAGACGCAGCGTGGGAAGGCCTCCAGCAAGGTCGACCGACGATCTGGTCAAGATCGTTGGAAGGCATTGGATGCAAGCAGCGCAGTACCGATCGTCGTGGAGATCTTTCGGGGAGGCTTATGTCCAGCAGTGGCCGTCTTCCGGGCTGCGGTGATGATAGATTGTAGTGACAATTTAGAATAGAATTTTGGTATTCGAAATATAAAGCTTATAAACTAGGTTATAGACTAAATAAGTGGCCTGTATTCCACAGAAGTTAATTATTATAACTACCTGAATTTACTAATAAAGCATGGATACGTGATAAAATATAAGGCGAAAAAGAGAACAAAAAAAATATATATATATAATAAAGAGTCAAAACAAATATTAGATACCTATATATTTTTTTCTCTAATTTTCTCGTAGTGTAAAGAGAAAAGTAGAGAATAAATAGGTACCTACCTAAAAAGATCTATTGCAAAATTTGACCAGCTATCGTGAACTATCGTGGTTTATTTACACAGCTTGTAGACAAAGATTACACGTAAACGTTAAGAAAACAAAAACAAAATCCGTGCATATTATTTAATGCGTTCCCTACAACGCCGACAGTTGGAAATAGCTCTCCTGGGATAACAGTCATGAGAATATAATGTAAACTACTGAAACACATTGGCTGGCATATTTAGTTTATATATGTATTTGAATAAAATATTTTTTTCCGAACTTATGCAGGGGCTCGTTGTATTAATTTTAATTACAAATTATAAGCCGACAACTCCTTTGATGTTAGAATTTCTATTTTCTTTTATTTATTTATTTATAATTTTAAAATACCTTTTTACATCATATTTTTTATTATATAATTAAATTGTTCACTTATTCTACGTATTTTCATAGTATACATTCCCATACAGTGCGCCGATTCATTATATACAAAATTTTCTTAACTTAGTCAGGTGTAGCAAATATTAATTTTACTTATATATACTAATTGTAGGAAATATGGGTAAATATTTTTGACAATTGGTAAGAAAATAAAAAATAGTGGGCAATCGATGCTTAACGACTGCGTGAATAACAACATACACATGTTATAAGTACTCGTATTTTTAGGGGCCTATAGATACTGATGAATTAGAAAATGAAATCACCATTCTTTTCTTTTTATAGCATACTTAGTAATAAACTCTGTCTTCGATACTTCATATATAGATAACTTTACTGAAGACTTAAACTTATTTTTTTACTAATAATAGCACATGTAATGTTTATAATTCCGACATAAGAATGTCGATACTAGATATCGTCGTGGCCTAGAAGTTTATTATCCGACTATCTGCCTTGAGTTCACATACTTGGTTGATACAAAAACTTGGCCTGTCATTTTATATTTCTGACTAACTTTCCACTGATTGAAACACCGACAACACTAAATTAAATATATAGAAGGCAATAAGCTAGGTCCCTGCGACGCGACGTTGGATTCTATTATATATACCCGATTAAACAATTGAATATGCTCTCATGCCATGTATTGCGTGTATCATAACGTCGACAGTTGTCAACGCTTCTGATTACCCCATCTGGAGTAAGAGGTATGAAGATATATTATTACTTTTCTTATATTTGCCACTTGTCTACAAGTACTGGTAAGCTCAGCCGCGAAGCTCTTATTTTCATTGAGGGACCGAGCTTGCGGCCTTCAAGGTGATAGCGGGTCACATTCCGGCATAAAGTGCGACACGTGTATGCTTTGTCTCTTTCTATTACAGTAATGGCGGTTTATTAGTTCTGCCAGATTGACAAGAAACTACTAATATGGTAGTAATTTTATTTTTCATGAAATTAATCTTTATAGTAAGCAAACTAAAACTTGTCATCTATAACAATTTTATTATAAAAGAAAGGTAAATATGTAAAATAATTATATAACAAAACATGGAGTCTTCCCCGTTTTTGTTATATATAATTATTTTTATATATAAACAGACAAAAATCGTTATTGTTTACATAAGTCTGTCTGTGTGTTATTAATGTCCTATAACTTTAGAGTTATTTAACCTCCATTACATAGTCTGTCCGTGCAAAACAAGGGCGGGTCGCTACTAGCTGCTAGCACAGATAACATAATATCTACAGGTAATGCTACATATAATGTATATAGCAATATAATAGTAAATTATTTTAATTATTCATTCATCTTATTTTACGTATTACTGTTAATACGTAAATTAAGATATTACACTTCTGCTTGTAAAGAGCCGATTTGCTCTATATTAGCTTAATGTATTATATACCTATGATTAATAATCTTTTTATCATTATGTTAATTCAACTAAATGCTTTACCTATAGAATGAATTCATTGTTAAGTCGTTTGTTTAGTGTTAAATAATAAATACCGTAACAAGAAGTTCAACAAATCAAATCTTGCTTTACTACGATCTCTTTAACCCTTACTATTATACAAGTACAGTACACAGATGACAGAATATTATACAGTAATCCTTAGTAGCTTCAACACATTAAAGTACTGGCAATACAAAAAACCGGCAGTCAGTGCGAGAGTCTGCGCGTACGCAGGCCAACGTCGATTTTACCGCCGCCGTTCACAGTATAACAAATCATCAAATAATAATGAAACAATAATAAAATATACAACTTAAGTTTATATACTGTGATTATTTTAACAAGTTACACCAGTTAAAAGACTTTAAAACCGTAGTGGAGATAGAAAAGCCTCGAAAATGCTATCTGTGTACATGTAAAGTGTTTTACGATTGATATTTTTTGTTTGTCCGCTTGTGTGTCGGTAATAGCTGTATACGAACCAAGAAATGGGTTTATAATTGGGCTAAATCAAAGGCCGTGATGGTAAGTTGTACTTAAACTAGCTTTAAACTCTAAACTTTTATGTGTGTGCGTTGTAAGTACAATATATAAGCACGCTTAATGTGTTACAGAGACATGCTCTCAGATTCCGCAAATATTTTGTTTTATGATTTCTAACAAAATAAGTTATATGTGTTTTATAGTCTTGTTAATTATATTAATCGTTGAAGTTTACTCGTGTAGTAGTAGCGTCAGTTTCTAACTGGAGTCAACGGTCTAGAAAGTTGTTTTGATGCGTTGCGTTGACTTAACTAAGCATACGATCTACTGCAGTCTACGATATTGCAACTAATATATAAATTTACATCAAATCCACTGATAATTTAGTGTATAATCACGTTAATGAGCATTTCAGCCAGAGCTGAAATTGAAATTTTATTTATGCGATTTTATTAATTAGTTATAATAAAAGTGACAATATTATGACAGTTTTACCCTTGAAAATTAACAATAATAATCACCAATAAATCGTATAAGTGTTGTTATGTCAAAATACGCGGGATCTCTACGTACGGAGTAAAAGACATCAACGCGTTCCTAAGTCACATTTTCAACCGATTGGTAAAAGACGTTTCGACGTTTTAATTTCGACTGTTTTTTGTATGTTTATACAAATATATTTGCCATTAACAAGTATATAGCGAAGGTTTATCATCAAGAGGTTTTATTTTCATGTTTATTCAGTACAAAACAAAGTATAACTACAGTCAAAAGAACTACGAAAATACATAATCTATCGGATAGACTTACGATAGTGGTACATTCGTCTTATTCTATCATTTTAACAATATGAGAAATACAATACATCAAATAAATATTCAAAGGACCCTTGATTCCATATGAAAAATTACTATTACGTCTTTATAACTTGTTATAAAAATTTTTTTGCTTAGTTGTTCCACAAAGGCTAGAAGAATTTTATATATAATATCCTTTTCTTTTACTAACTCATTTACGTTTTTTTTCTCTTATTCACCTCTATACAACACCTGATGATATTGTATGATGAGAACATATTCTGCTGTTATCCTTTAACCACACGAATAAATCCATGTTTAAACGGAGTTATTTTCGTTAAACATACTAAGGTATTAAGGTTACAATAATTGGCTCACTTAGATACATACATACATACATATCACTTATACGATATGCGAATTTCTTTATACTATTTAAAGTTAACAAGACACAAACTATTAAATTTAAACGTTCACGAATAAGCGTATTTTAACGATATGGCATTCGAGTTATCGCAAGCATTCGATTAAGGTGGAAAATTGGTTTCATTGTTTTGAATGTTACCCCTCATTGCACTGTATCCACAGGCATTGCCTTGCACCCTATATGGACTTGTAAATTGCATACTTGTATTTTGGTTGACTTCGTGTTACACGTAAGATATGCGGAAACGTAAGGTTGGTATGCGGAAAACATATAATTACGGTCATAACCAATTTTCATTGCTTTATTGCATCGTTGTACTTGTGAGAATATAGATAGGTATTATACTTTAATTTTTTCAGTCTTTAATCAGTAACATTAACTAAGTTTTGTTATATTACAATATATTATACCATGTACTACAAAACTGAACAGATCTCTATATGTAAATACTAAGCAAATGATAGATCTTTATACCAATTTATTAATATTATATATATACAAAAAGAGTGCCTGTATTTTATCTGTTTACTGTTATGTTATTATTTTTTCGATCAGCCAAAAATATAACCATTATCCTAATTATAATATATCTTAATCTTATTACTGAAAAAACTTATATAATGAATTTAATTGATATTATTATATTTATAAAAATTAGTTCACTGCCACAACATACCTATTTCATCTTTACATAGTTACAACATTGGACAACAAAAACCTTCCGACTAATGTATAGCTAGTTTTTACATTGTTAGAATTGAAATTCATTTACAATAGATTACATGTTGTTGCTTATCAATTGTGTTGTTAAAAAAATCTCACGAGTCACGGTCGTCATTGTTAGACGTTTGTCCGTTGTTTTACTTTTGTTTTTTTTATCTTAACAAATTAAGCGAATGTATTACATAAGCGAATTTTAAATTAACTTGTAATTGTAAGTACTCTTCGTCAATACAATACATTACGAACTGTGTGTTATATAAGTTAGATTGAGGTAGATCGCAATGTCATCTATGTGGATGCTTAAATCTCACAGCAATATTACAGATGCCAAGTAGCTTGCTTTTTAACATGTGTTTCGACTGAATGATGCGATAAAGCAGTGAAATTATACGATACCTTTTATCGTTTACAATTACAGCAGTTTATAATAAAGTTAATAATAAAATACAGTTTATAATAAAGCATTGAAGCGGTATCGTGTAATTTCACTGCTTTATCACACCCTTGCCACCACTGGCATGATATCTATGTTCTCAGGAATTGTAAAGAATGATTTTGGGGGCGTCACATATAATGTTCATGATCCTGTTCATGTATATAGGTGACTATTATCACTTACCTTCACGTTTACTGTTCGTTTATTTTCCATTACAATTATATAAAAATGTCCTGGTGACTACAACAAAAACGCGTTGAAAAACTAGTCACAAATAAAAGTACAAATACAAAGTGCGTCAAATTAAAAATGAGTCCGTAACTAAAAAAAGTCCATCTGCATTCCGTCACTACTATTGTAATTCAAACTAATGTAAATAACGTCAATTATCGTCATTATATACAGGAGATGACAATAGAAAGCTTAATATGCACCTACTAATATCATACTCACTTAGCTTGGTCTGTTTCATTAAAAAAAACAAATATTTCAAATCTCTCGTTCATGAGTTGATGGCTTCAGTCGGTGGCAGGGTTGCCAAGCAAATACGAATAAGAATGCTTTGTACACGAGGTTTGATGACGTTTATAAAATTGTGTACGATGTATTGATTTATAATAATAATAATAAATCTGGTCAATTCACACAGTGACATCTAGTCCCAAGCTAAGCAGAGTTTATTTTATGGGTACTTCACAACTGAAAGAAATAGTTTTTTTAATACATGATATATCATCTAAACACCATTCTCACTCATGAATATAAGTGTTTTTATCTTCTATCTTTTTTTATATTTGAAAGTAAATAACCGCTAGACCACTGAGGTTTTTTTATACTATGATAGTGACAAACAAGCTTACGGCCCATCTGATGGCAAATGGTTACCATGGCCTATGGACACTAGAGAGTTAGATAATAGTTGAGGATATAGTATAGTATCAAAGAAAGTTACTTTTACAATACGATATTTAATAAATATTATATTTTAAATCAATAAACATATTATTTTCAAGTTTCATGTATGGCTCATCTTGTTTAGTTAGTGTACTCACTGTAAATAAGCCTTATCTGTCACACTCACACCTCTAAGAATCTTACGAAGATACTAAGAATCTTCTGGACTCGTAAAAGAAGACTTATTGACTATTATAATGATTACCTATGGAATCCACTCTAGTGAAGTTATCTACCACTAGCTGTCACTAACTGTATGTATAGTTGTGCTGTTCGTTATTCGTTAAATCATTTAGACATCGTGTCGAATATTCCAGGAATTAAATATGGTTGATTCCAGTAGAGTTGTAGCTTTATGTCCCCAATATTGTCAATATTGGGGACTTAATCTCCTCCCTCAATTTTATCCTATTATACTCCGACGTTAAAATATGATGAGATTGTTAGAGGGAGAGTGTTTTTAAGGATGGCAACCCTGATCGGTGATTATGTTGATGCAGTTAGCTCGTCTCAGTAACAGGTAGCATGTATTTTGTCTTTCGCTTTGGCTGTGGCGCGTGCGCCCTGAGGCGGCCACTTATCGCTCACGCGACAGCCTCCACTGTACCTGAAGAGCACCGTAGACCAGCCCCGCGTCACTTTAAACTAAATATTATTATATTTCTTTAGAGTTTTATATCTTTTTAGTTATTTGGGGACTAGTGGGCCCCATTGGTACACCGTAGTTACCCGAAATGGAAATCATTGTGGATAATCCTCATAAAGCGCTAACGACAGGTTCTTTAGCACTTTATCCTTTATCCTGAAACTAAAAATATCTTCCTTGAGTGTTTTATATATATTTCAGTATCTCAATATCCTAAATAATTTTACAGTATCAATCAGATATTAGCCTAAATCTTTGTTCCTTGGAATGGTTTTTGCACGCAACGATGTGATGTTTTTAAACTATTCACGTATATAGGCAATGGTTGCCATTTTCGGTCAGGTGGAACATCGGATTGGTTGCTATTCAATTCACATGATAAAAAATTATCCTGAAATAATTTAACATTATCAGTCAATCATGGATGATTAATCGAGATTATTTATTAGCTCTAGTTGACACTAACAAAGTCACGGTAGAATCTAGAATGAACGAAACACAAAAACCAAATTCGTTGACATACACGAGTGCTTTAAATTTTTTGTAGATCTTTACAACCGACAAAAACACCTTTGCCTTCGAGCTATTCACCATAAACAGTAGCCAGGTGGTCAAAAAATTCAAATTCTAACATCGTATTGACCGGCGCGGTGCTCATTAGACGCACGTGAAGTTTCGTGAGCGGACCAATCAAACATAATTTGAAATATAAGGTACCCCCATATAAGTACGTAATGTTATTTTAAATATACATTATGCGTCACGTTTCTTGTATTTCTTTGGATGTATAGTTTTTGCTGTAGCATAACCACTATCTTTGAAAATCTGTTCTCCGTTAAATATCGAATTACACATATTTAAATTTTTTAATAAACAAATATTTTTTATGTTTTACTGTTAATATTTTAAAATTAAAACCTATTGACGGCGTCGGTGGTCTAGCGGTTTAGCAAATGATCTTACTTCCAATGATTCCTGCTTCGATTCCTCGTATAATGGGAATATTTGTACACATACGTTTGTATTGTTCTGGATGTTTTCTATGAAATATATATATAAATTTATACTATTAGTTTATGAGAATACATACATAATACATGTAAGTATTTACGAAAAAAATGTATTTAGGTGTTTAAATATCAGTTATCTAGTACCTATAACACGAACTGTTTAAATTAAAAAATCTTTATTTTTTTATAATATTTTAACGCAACAAACTTAAAACATCTTTTTTTAGATGGGTAACCAACGGCTAAGTATGTGTCCGTTATTATAGAATAGTACCTTAAAAAAATATATCTTCAAATTATTTCCGTTCACTGTTTACTAGTTAATTACATGTATGAGACCACAGCTTGCTCTTCAAACGACAATCCGAACTATTTAGTAAGTAATGTCGTTATTTCCGGCAATAACGGTAATATTGTGGTAATAACAATCTCCAAGGTGAAAAACATGAATTAAGATAGATATTGCTAGTGAAATTATTTGAAATAATTATGTTAGCAATTTCTATTGATTAATAGAAATATGGATATTTTTAGTATCATCAGGCAACATTTTCAGTACAAACATATATAGTAGATACAGTTGTTTTATTATGATTTGTATAACAGAGTGTACTCGTCCTCAAACCTTTATTTTAGTAAATACATACTTACGGAGTTTAGAAAACTAAGAAATTTTGTTAACATAAAAATATATATAATTATTACTAATTAATATATAAAATATGATTTTTGCATATAATATATCATCTAATCAGAAACAAACTAAACGCCGATATACTACAGTTGTTATAAACCTAAATCATTAACATTAATATAATGTAATTCAAATCTAAAATAAAAATGTACTATTATACTATTATTATGTTACCTGATTGCATCAATAGAACGGTCAGGGAATTTTTTTCTTAAAAAATATTAGTATATTAACGTATTCATCAAGTACAGGTCAAACGGTTAGTCAGTTTGAAAGTCGTAATAGAAACGTGATATTACCTATGTACTTATGTACTAAATCTTAGCAAATAAACGTGTTCCTGGAGCTACACCCGTAAACTAAAATAGATGCATTGGGAGGACGTTTACGAGCCAGTTTTATGTACCCGTAATCATTGCAATAGCACTATTGCTGAGCATTACATAAGTTCACTTCGGTTACATTGTTGCTTTTAACACTTCCAGTGACAACTAGGTTCCTTTTTCTCACGGGGAACAACAATTTTTTAGCTAAATGAATGGAAATTGGTTATAGGTTTCATCTGAAAGTCCTATATCTTTATATATGTTTATGAGATGCATTAATGGTTGTATTTTAACTTAGGATGGCTTTTTTCTTCTTTCGAGATAGTGACAAGATAAACTTACTTGTACAAAAATATGGCGAAGTCTTTGGTGTTCTTAAGGGCTAAAACTATAGCAAATTTTAAAACGTCGTCTAATTCATATATACGTTGATATGTATAATATCTAGTATAATGGAATATTTACTATAAGGTTGCTCGAGAAAGAAATAAGTAAAAAAAATAAACTAAAAAAATATGTATACATACCTACCACACAAATTGATCATTATACTTAACGAATCCACCACATTTCAATTTAAATATCTTAAATATTTGAATTTTTCAGTCAAAAATAAACATGCAATAATACTTATTATCTATCATATTAGCGACATACATATGAACATAGATAAGTGCTTTTCTGTTGTTCAAGAAACCAGCAAAGAACAAATTACCTACTTGGCCAGTCAACCCATTATCAAGACATATGTAGCAGTGTCGAAATATCGGGAGTTCTTAAATAATATTAACTTAGTAAATATTTTCTTTATATATTATGAAACATACCTACTACTAAAAAACATATTATTTTGTTATAATCATACTTACTAATTCATTTCATTAATATGCTATTAGTAAAAATGGATAATGATCCATATTAATATGCAGATGCGCTGTATTTGAGCTGACCAGCACCAAGTTTGACGACCACTCACGGATGCTAAGTGCCATCAGATTACTACGACCACCAGCAAGCGATATCCCCTTAGACTTGTTGTACAAATTTCATCTTTAACTCGACATATTTACAATTCAGTTTATAATACAGAAGTAGGTACGAGTCATCAAATGGACTACTTTCCACAAAATTGCACATTAAAGCAATAATTATTAACTTATAAGCAACCGATACTGAGGCATAAATTGTAACTTACATACTTGCTGAAGAAAATTGAAGCTTATATCAATAAATGCTAAGTTTGTTACCAATTAATAGCAGGTATGTTTAGAATGTGTGTAGAATTCTTGTGTGTGATTTGATACCCTCGAATATTTTATAAAGGACTTGTTGCACGCTCTGACTTCGCATATTTATAAACCTTCCTCTTGAATCATATATCTATTACTGAAAATTGTATTATAATCTATTGCGTAGATTAAAAGATTTAAGCGTACACACAGAGGAAGTGATTTGTATTATATATAAGCTATACAATAAGACTCTACATACTGAATTCTTGAAATCGTCATACTGAAATATCCAAAGTATATCTTACTAAGAAAATTGACTTGTAACGAACGAAATTACATATTTTATATTGGCCATAATTCTTTCATTTATGTTCACGACTGATACACTTAAGTATCATTTTGCATTGCATGCAGTGGTCATTACTGCTTCTACTTATGTCCACCATATATCATTAAAAAGTGAAAGTACAAAATATTTGGAAACTTCAAGTCATTTTGAAATAACATACCTTTCAAACAGTGAAAGAGTTTTTAAAATCTATAATGTAAATTTTGAGTTTATTTATACACATAACTAGACACATAACATAGATTACAAAAGTAAGTTATTGTAATATACCCAAAATCTCAACATTCACAACATCAATTAGTGTTTGTGTTTTTTAATATTATCTTTACGAGTGATTACTTTCATTTTTAAATATGTTGAGCAATTATTAAACGATATTATTAATATTTTGAACTGCAAATAATCTCTTTAACATCCGCCTAACTTAGGAAGTCGCTTTTAAGTGAAAATAAATCCCCTAATATAATTAATTATTACAAATTAAGACTAACGATAGAAGCGAATATAGCGAAGTTATAATATTAATGATTTAAAATCCGAGGTAGCTTTCGTGAAAAGTCGTCAATGTGGGCTTATTCTCTCCTTTTTTTAGCATGTTACTTTACACTGCATTTTGGTTGAAGGAATTAACCCATTAGATCAGCAAGCATCTACTACGACGAGTTCCGAATGGAATCGCATGGAGATTGATCTAACAGTTTCTAATATGCACTAAGTAGGATCCAATATTAAATTTTCTCCCATCGCTAAACTGCGATAGGTACAATAAATATTGAAAGTAAATTCCAAATCTCTATTTCATATACACCTTTAATTTTTTTCTACCAAATTCAATAGGATAAGGAAAAGCTTCATTCAACTGTATTTTTTGTGTGTATACCTATTAAGCTACATCATCGCCATTTCAATCAATTAGGTTTATTTTGATGTTGATCCATACCTACTAATGTTGTACATACATGTACTAATAAATAAATACTAATTTCATTACGACTGAAGTCAGTTTGTATGCAACAAAATGTTTTAATATCGTATGAAGTTATAGTTTTAATCACATTTAAAATTCAAAATCTGCTCATAAAATTAATATTTTATTTGATAAGAGCATCAGACGAGTTTGTTGCCCCTTGTACAGCGGAAACAGCTTTTAAAATATGTCTGTGCAGTTAGTCTTACGCGTCTGCAGTGATTCATATGATTAAATTATTTACAATTTCGTTACGCAATATAGTCTTTCATGACCTGAGCTGAGGGATGAACTTAAGACGGTCACATTATGAATTTAATAATTAACGTATGGTAAAAAAAATTGTATAGTACAATAAGATCTAATAGAAATAAATTTAAGTCAAATAAGTTTGATATAAATGCTTCGGTGAAGATTTTTTTATTTTTGGAATGTAGATTTTGCCCAGAGAATTGGGCAAGGCTTGGCAAAAACTTGTCAGTTGCTCTTTTGAACATATGTTGTTCAATTTTACGATTTTAAAACTTAGTATGAATACAAACTACGACATATACACTAGTAAAATAGTATTTAAAGGAAATAAATCGATCATAGTGATCTGATTGCATAATTATACGACATATGTATTGTTTTTGACTAAATTTTTATCGTTCCAGGTTCGTTTAAGAAGAGGATAGCAACAATAAGATGTCACAAAGAGATTTCTCTGAGGTTTGTGATCCAATTAAATATTTTTATCGGTTACAAAAAGTATCATGTACATTCATAAATATAATTTATTATATTTTTATGTAATGATTTCATTTTCGAATGAGTCGATCAAATATATATATTGAATAGAAAAGGTATTTTTCGATTCGAATTCATGTTCATTCCTACTTAGTAAAACTCACTGTACTTGTCTTCGTACCATTTTGTAATATTTACTTTCCCATACAAGAAATTTAAAACGGTAATTAACGGTTAATAGTGACTGAATAATATAGAAACCATCAGCGTAGGTAGATTTTAATATACTAATCTAATATATTATATGTAATGCAATTTTCATATATGGAAAAGCAATGTTAATGATACCTAAATTCAATTCTTCCGCTCCTTCCTCAGTAGATGAAACAAGTAATTCTCAACTACATTTTAGGGCAATTGTTGAGCTGAATATAATATTAAGACGTAGAAAGTAGATTTCCAACTGGAAATTACTATTGCTTGAAGAATGCCAGAGATGGCAGCGAGCTTGTATGGTATGCACATGAAAGTAACTTAGATAGCAATTTGTCCACTTATCATATTCCTATATAGACACTACATAAACACAACTAGATACTATGAGTTTCCTGCGGCTACAGTTATCTTCCGTTCTCATATTAAATATATTTTATACAGGCTGTTAACCACTACTTCGCCTACTTTTTTTGAGATAACATAGAGACTGTTTCGATGGTCAGTGTAAAGTAACAGACAGATACGCTTTCTCGTTTATAATATTACTCTAGATTATCTATTGATAGTAGATAATCTTGAATCAAGAAGCTGAAAAAATATGTAATCGTATCAAATCCTACAAATAGACGAAAAAGTATGAAACGACGTAATTCAATTATATAATATCGAAATTATTCTCTAGAGTACATCGGCTAGACACTGAAAAAACTTAACTCCTAGATATCATTTACACGTTACTTTTCATTTCCCAATATATAGTATTAAATGATCAAATCTCATTATACTGTTCCTATTATTAAATCACAAAATTATCATATAGAAATTACATAAAAAATCTATTAAACGGGATAAAAGGTGGTAATATGCATTTGCAATAAACGGCAGATATAGACATCTCTCAGTGTCCAAGTAATATTTATTGAATACCATTTACGGCCTCATAAATTATGATTTTATGAAAAGCCTAACACCTTAATGTAAAAATAGCTTTATGCTCGAACTGAGCATAAAGCTATTTTTACATTAAGCGAATATATTGAACACTGACAGCAATATTCGAGAAATACAAGTAAAATCAATGCACAAGAGTTGATGAAAAATATATTATATATTTCATTTCAGGGACTATGAAAAATTAAATTGGTAATAGAAGTTTTTTTAATCCTACTGATATTACTATCCTACTTCTACTGTTATTACAAACTGAATATGGTTGTTATTCTTTTACGAAAAGATAAGTAACTTCACTCTAGAATCTTAAAATTTTTCATAGAGTGCCTATATCAAACGTATCTTGAATTTAGATTTTGGTAATTTAAGAAACAAGGACATCTCTAGGGATATCGCTCTTATAAATCCACAGGAAATAGTTAGTGTATCTTGTTCATCAAGCTGAAGTCGTCATACATCATAAGCCATTTCGTCATAATGTCGATTATACATTAGCATTTACTGTTGTTCAGCCATATTGCGGTGGACGTGTGAACGTAGAAGTTCTGCGTGACTTGCTTATTTGTGGTGTTTGGTACAAGATTTGATTAGGTTAGGAACGATTCTCGTAGTTGAAACATAATATTAGTAGCGTTCACTGTGCATTGAACGTTAGTCACATATCACCGCACAATGAATTAATAATTTTATTAAGTCAGGTAATAATAAAATTATGAATAAATCTGTGTTATGATATTACTATAAATCTAAAATAATTAAAATTATACTGTGGTTTTTATTTTTAAATTATATTATTGTTCATCTACCTTACCCTATGAATATTTGTGAATAGACATAAATTAAGTTTGTTTTGTAACAGTTGTTTAATAAGAATAATTAATCAAGACAATACCTATAAGCACTGTATTCTGCAAATAAATTATTTGATTTAATTTAATTTGAGAAATTAGTAGTACTGAGTATAAATTAAATTCTTAAACAACAGTTAAAATTATATCCTTAAAGTTATTAAGAAGATTTATCCATTCGTGTCTATTGCTTATATGTTACACAAGTTTGGACATTTACATTTGGACCACAGACAATGACTTGGTGAGTTACACATAAGGCTCGATACAAATGAATGTAATTCAAACGCTGTTAGGTGTAAATGTGACGGATTGAGGGGGCGGATACCGGTACCACTGCATTTTAACATTTACTCGTACTTATCTCAAGGAAAAGTGAGGGCGCTTACCAATCCATGGACAAAACCTCTCTGTATAATCATATGAGGAAATAACTACTCTCATAGCACAATTATATTAAGATACTAGCTATCCCGGCAAACGTTGTTTTGCCTTAAAATAAAAAAAATATTTAGGGATGGACTACCCCTAACATTTAGGGGGATGAAAAATAGATGTTGGCTGATTCTCAGACCTACTCAATACGCTCACAAAATTTCATGAGAACCGGTCAAGCCGTTTCGGAGGAGTATGGGAACGAAAACTGTGACACGAGAATTTTATATATAAGGTTCTGACCACTGTATTTTGTTATTGTTGTAGTAATTTTTAATTCATTGTAATTTTAATAATTTTAGTATTAAATATATATATATATATATATATAACTTAATTACGTTATTAATAAATAAATAAAAGCATAAGATACAAAAATCGTATTTCCTTTTTGTTGAATATTTAAAAGTTAGGCTGGAATGATACTCGGTTATTTACGCACATGTCCTAGACTAAAAATTATGGGCCGTCATCCACAGATAATGAAAGTATTCTTTTAATAATTAATAAGTTATATTTAGGATATCATACTAAATTGGTGCAACCCTTGAGTTATTTAGGGTTTTTTATTTATTTCTAATACACTTCTGTAATAGGATATTTACTTTTACTGTAGTCTATAGAGCAGTATTCATTCAGAATTATTTCATAGTAATGAACTGGTAAGAAATGTTTTACTCTACCATGAAAATATTTATTACGTTGACTTATTCATTGTAAATATTCTCGAGTTAATTAGAATGTGGAAAACCGTTATTATAATTTATGTGGTAGTCCGCTTGATAAATACAACAAACTAATAGATGACGCGACGACGCGGGAGTTTTACTGCCGGCCTCATAATCCAGTCTATTGCAAGTTGATACGTTTTATTGTTCAATGACTTACACCGCTTGTAATTACAAGTTTACAAACCACTAGCCAGTACCTCCGGCTTCACATGGACGCAATTATGGTAGAGAATTCTACCTAAAATTCAAGTGATCTGAAAATATTAATGGCATAAATAATTCTGAAAAAAAACATACTAATTATTTAATTAATTTTATTATAGACTAGCTACTCGTCTCGGCTTCACCCCGGTGTACATGTATTATACATATAAACTCTTGAATCACTCTATCTATTAAAAAAACCGCTTCAACATCTGTTGCGTAGTTTTAAAGATTTAAGCATACTTAGGGACGGACAGACAGCGACAGCGACTTTGTTTTATAGTATGTCATAATGCACATGTTACTTTTGGACAAAATACAATGCTAATACTAAACGCGAATATACGCAACGATTAACAATTAATAATGTTATATACGCTACTTAATCTTCATAACAAGCGTCCTAAAATAATGTTATTATTAAACAGTAGAACGGATACATAAACTTTGAAATTACTTAATTGTCAAAAAGAATACCGAACCAGATATATTTAAATACTTAAAGAATTTAACTTTATTTACTTTAAAATGTATGTCAATTAGTATCTCTGAATTAAGACATTAATTAAAAATGTTTTTCATATAAATCATATTAATATCCAGATATATTAAAATTTATAGTTACTCCAAAAACCAAAACGCAATACATTCTTGCAAATCCATAATTTTTTTTTATTAGTAGCTAATCTGAGCTTTGTTACTGATTACAAACTTTAAGGTTTTTTATAATGATATTATTATATTTCAGATAAATAGTCAGGAAGCTGTCCTTAATCCTTAGCTTAAGATTAAATGGCTTTGTGAATATTCATCATTATGTGACATTCATTGTTTGTGACTATTACAAACAACAATTATAAATATATATACTTTTTTGTAAATACATATATATACATTACACATAGGAAACACCTAGACCTATCCAAAGAACATAAATACAAATGTGTATTGATACATAACCCATTTGACCACGATGGATAGTAAAGTAGTGTCCACAACCGTAAGGCTACTGAGGCCTATTATATAACTTTCTTTTACTTGTGTTATATATCACTATTCACAATAAGATAACATATGAGAATACAAAAAAAAATATAATAATAATTCGAAATAGAAAATAGATGAAATAGAAATTGCCACCTATTACTCTATATAATAAATATTATATAGAGTAAAGGTGGCAAGGCCTTGCAAATGGCATTTCCTACCTATATATACTCAACATGTTGATAGGGAGGTAATAATAATAAACAATGATTATTACACCGACTGCTGACTAAATATAAATTCTATTAACAATAGTAAATTTTCATCGTAGCTGTAAGTCGTCGGCCGTTTTATACCATGCAAATTACTGTTGTAAAAACGAATTATTGCCGTATTAACATCGACCTTAATCTCTTTACAATTAATTTTAATTTGCAACGAGATGTGAATACGATTTAATATCATAGTGCTAGTTGAAGGTTTATATATATTTTTTACTTTCAATATTAGTTATGTAAATGGTAATTATCGCTACTACCACCATCATCATCTATCCACTGCTGCACACAGGTCTCTCCATGGCATGCCACTGGGGATGGTATTCAGTCCT